TGACATCGTGTCAGCACATTGCGCTAGAAAGGCAAGCTTGATGATTCCCCAACCTGGGAACAAGGGACCTACTTATAGGCCTAGAGGACTAGACCTTTGAGAGGAGGAGCTGATGTTACGACCCAACACGCATGACAAGGCCAGGGCCTGCCCCACAGGACCTACGGCGGCTACCACACCATATATGCGGGAACACGAACTCAGGGCGACTCCTCTCGGGACGGAAGAACTATGGGACAAGTCACGTGACGATAAGAGATAAGGAACTCCGTACGTTCGAGATACGGGGTCCGTCCTTTCACGATACGGAACCCGTATGTTCAGAACACGGGAACCGTTGGGTAAACATACGGACAAAGAATATGTTCAGGAACGAGACTTGTATATAGTGTGGACTTGAGCCGGGCACAAGGACAGACTTCCATAGCTTCTTCAGCAATCAACTTAGTATCAGATCTTACGATCGCTTTCAGCTATCTTCACTGAGAACCCCTTCTGACAAGACTACGATTGATCACCGAAGCCTTACCCACCTTACGATTTACAGACATAGCTTCAGGGAAGCTATCCACGACTACGACACTGTTTACTTAGTTATCGCAGCCTCAACTTCTGCTAACATACTCACTACGACTAGCTGGCCGTAACAAAAAGATAATAATTCTTTTTAGTAATCGAGTTAAGTCCTTAATAATTAATTATAAATTATAGTTTTCCGTTTTTTTTTAGTATAAAGAATACTAGGGCTCTAGTTAGTAAGTTAGAGGGTTTAATATATTTTTAATAAGTATTTTTTAAAATAATTATTAAGTTCTTATTATTTTTATTAGTTAAAAGTATATAGTGGGTAGAATTATATTTTTTTTTTTAAGTTTATTTTTATATTTTAATTATTATATTTTAGAAGTCTTATTTTTTTATAGTAAATAACTTCTGTATATTTTAGTACTCTTTAAATATAGTTTAAAATAAATCCGATCTTTAATTATTTATTATTAATACGAGCGCCCTATTTAGCTTCTCTTAACATAAGTTAAGTATTTTATTTTATTTTTAGTATTTTAAATACTATAAGAGATTTATTTAAACCTTTTTATAAAGCCGTTTCGTAGCTAAATCTATTTATTAGAGGTAGCTTATTTTCTAATTTATTTATAAATTATACTTTTATAATTATATAATTTTTAAAATTATATTATATTTATTCTTTATTTTTATTATATTATAGTTATAAATATTTATATAGACGTAGTTTTTTAAAATATATATCTTTTATTATATTAAAATAACTTCTTTTCGAAGTTATAGAATAGGTATAATTCGTTTTTATTTTTTATTTAATATTATATTTTTAGTTATTTTTAAGGATATAAATTTTTTTATACGCTATTATTAATTATAATATGTATTTATTATCCGTAGATATTAATATTTATTATAAAGTATTCTGAGCTTAGTATATAAATTACGATAAAGAACTTTATTTATAGTTTTATTTTTATTATTTTTATTTAATTAATATTTTTAGTTTTTAATTATTTAAAAATTAGTACTGCTCTTTTTAATAAGTTATTTATAATTATTTTTAAAGTCGATATACCTCTATTCCTTAGTAATTAAGTATAATACGTTAATTATATTTTAAATATTTTTTTATTCTAAATAGGTTCTTTTTTAAGAAATAATTTATAAATTCGTAATATTTTAATATTAAACTAAGTATTTAAAATATATTTATTATATAAGTAAGTACTTAAAGTTATAATAAGGTTATTTTAGTTTTTAAAACGAGCTAGTTCTTAATTATTTTTTTATACTTATTCTTTTAAAGTTATTATTTATAAGTTTTAAGTATTAAGTAAATCTTATATTAGTTTATTTAGTATATTTTTTAATTCTTTTAATATTATTAAGATATTTTATTAGATAGTTTAGATTTAGTATAAAAGTAGTTATTTTATTTTTGTTAAAAGATTTATATTATTAATAGGTAAGTTTTAATTAAAGTAAACTTTTAAATAAGTTCATTAAAAATTTTTTAAAATAAAAGTTTTTTCTTTTTAATAATAATAATACTTATAGTTATTAATTAAGTATTCTATTTAAAAATCTTATAGTATAATTAATAAATTCTTTTAAAAGATATTATTTTTAAAATAGGTAATATTTCTTTATTTATTTTAAAGTTTTTAGTTTTATAAAATAAGATAAACTAATCGTCCCTTATATTATAGATTTTTATATTTAGGTTACTTCTTTTTTAGTTTCCTTTTAAAGCTAGTATTATTTATATTAAGTATATTCCCGTTAATAACCTCTATTTAAGTATATTATTAAGTAACATTACGAGGTTTATTTAAATTATAGGTAATTTTAGTTTATAAACTATTTTTATTCTATTTTTAGATCCCTCGTTTTAAAATAGGGTTTTTATTTAATTCCTTAGTATCGGACTTAATAGCGTCGTTTTATTACTTAGAATTTATTTTTTATTTATTATAAGTAATAATACGTATAATAATAGCTTTATTATAGTTTATTTATTAATAATAGCTTTGTTAAGTTATTTATTAATTTTATAAATAACTTTAATATTAAGAACTCGTCGGTTTATAATTAAGGTTTTAGTATTAATTTTTTAGTATTAATTCTTATTATAGTGAGTTATTTTAATTTTTTAGGGTACTAGCTTATTTATTCTTTATTATTTTAGTAAATAAAGTAATTATTTAAAATATCCGGTTTATAATAATAATTTATATTAGTCCTTAGTCTTAGTTTTTGGCACGGGTCTAGTTATTATACTAATAATTTTAAATTTATTTTAAATTCATTTAGGTTATTAATAATCTTATATTATATATCTTAGTTTATCGTAGTTATAGTATTTAAAGTTTTTAAGTAGTCCTCTATTTATAATACTAAGGTTTATAAGTTTATTATATTATTTATAAAATATCGGTCTTTATTATTAATAATAGTTTTATAGAGCTTTTTTATTTTAAGAATTAGGATTAGTATTATTTATTAGTATTAGCTTATTATTATTATTTTTTTATATCGCTCGTAAAGTTTAGTATTAAGTTTAATAACGAGTTTAATATAGGTTAAGAATTTTTAAAATGTCAAGTTTAAATATTTTATTTAATTTTTTTTTTTAATTCTTTATAAAAGTTAGAAATTTATATTTATTTAGTAATATTTAGTCTTATTAAAAGCTTTTAAATTCGGTTACGTAATAAGAAATAAATTTAGTTTATTTAAAGTTTTTAAGTTTTTTAGCTTATTAAACCTTATTTAAGTTTTAAAAGAGTAATCTTAAAGCGTTTTAAAATCTTATTATATTAATAAAAATCGTAGTAATCTCGTTTTTATAGTTTTTAAAATAACCGTTATTATAGAAAAACTCCTCTTAAAAAGTTTAAATTATTTTAAAACTCGTCTTTAAAAAGGTTATTATATAAATAATTCGCTTAGTTTTATTATAAAAGTTCGTAGTATAAAAGTTTAATAAGTTCTAATTTAAATTAAGAACCTTAAAGTATTTATTAATCTTATTAAAAATAATAAGGGAGTTAAATTTAAGCTTCTCTTTATTATTTATTAGAGTTTTAATAATATTAATAATAGTTCTAAAGGTTTTAACCTTTTAATTTAGGTTATTAGCTTTTTTTTAAAGTTAAGGTTATTATAGTTTTATTATATTTTATATAGTAGCGATATTTTTATTATTTTTTTTAGATCTAAGCTAAGTATATAATATTATTATTAAAGAGCTTAATTAGTTCTTTATTATGTTTAGTATCTTTTTAATAATATATTTTATTTAAATATAGTTTTTAATTAAAAATAGCGTCCTTATTAAAATTATAAAAACGTTAAATATATTATTAATAATAATTAGTTTATTAATTAAGTTTTTAAGTTATTTTTTTAAAAGGAAGAAATAAGCGGAGTATTATTAAAAATATTATCGTTTTTTATTATTAATGCTTTATAAAGTTAACTTATTAAATAAGAATAATTAAAGTATTATAACTAATTAATTATAATAAGTATATTAATAAAAGTTAGGTTATAAAGTTAATAATAATATCGTAATCGTAAATAACTTTTTAGAATTATATTTATAAATTATAAATAAATAAGGCTTTAATAATTAATTATAGTTTTATTAAAAAGTTCTTAATAAAAATAATTAAAAATAATTATAAAATTTAATACTAAGTTAATTATTAAAGAAGTTATAAAAATCTATTCTCGAGCTTAACTTAAGTTTATTTTATATATAAATCCGTATATTATTTAAATAGTTCTTTTATAATTAAGATTAATATTATAATATTAGTTTTATAAAAATAAACCGCTTTTATCTTATTAATTTTATTTATAAACTATTTATTACTTATTAATTTTCCTTATTATTATATAATTTATTTATAGTTCTTTTATTTTATTAAGGTAACTTTTATATTAATATTTTTATATATATATAGCGTATTATAGCTGTTATAGGCCTACGGGGTAGGCCCTAGTCTTAGTTATATATATTAGGTCGTAATAAAAAATAGATTACGTCTCTTATATTAAGATAATAATAATTAGAACGATTAATATATTTACTAATAAGCAATATAAACCACTCTTAATAACTTAAAAATACAAAACCGAATTAGAATACTTTATACTTAGTATTAGCCCAGACCTTAGTATTAAAAAGGATACGCTTATTACCGTAACAGTCCTTTATTAAGTAGCTATCTTCCTACTCTCTATTAAACGAGGTACTAAAGGTCAATAAGACCTCAATATCCTAAGGGACGAGTTTAATTAATACTACCATAGCTTTAAGCAGAATAACTATACGCCAATAGAAGCATAGTACTTCTAATATTTTATCAACGACGACGCGATATAAGACTACCTCGGCAAAGTTAAAAAGGCTATATAGAGGACCTTCGTAAAGTAGGTATTTAAATAGTAAGCGGGTTGAAGTTAAGGGGGGTTTCTTTAGCGCCAAGATCTCTTATAGTAGAATAAATTGCTTTAATCACTACGTTCCTACGAAGAGGATCAGTTCAACGAAACACAGCTACGTGGTTGCGGAACAGTCTATCAGGCGAGATAACGGTAAGCACCGTCAGGTGGTGAAGGAACCGGTGTCCATGCTGCATAAAGTTTGAAAGAGGTGGTGGTCGGGCGGAACTACATCGCGAGCTAATGCTCTTTCCAGTGTGATGTCACAGTGAAATATCACATATGAATTCGCCTCCCGCATGATATACGCTACATCCTTCGCGTGAATCAAAGCCGAAGTATAACATGCGTGAGGGTTCACCGTATCCCCCTGCTCCAGTAATCAAGAAGATGTCAGACGATCTTCAATCCGACGTTTAGGTGGCTCAAGCTCATCTTCGTGCACTGCTCATGTGCCTATCAGCCCCCTCGGAAGTCTCGAATTTCCACCATCACTTCGGATAATGATAACGCAGAGTCATTGCATTCACCATAGGATTGGTCCACTAGATATTCGCGGCGAAGCTGAGCCCTTAACTCTTCCAGCCACGCGCCCGCGGGTGTCCCTGGCCTCCAAGTTGTTGAATCCTCGGACCCAGCATAACTTGACCCAGCGCGCCATCTCCTCATGCTCTCGTCTCATGCCCTCTCGCGTGCTTGAGCAACTGGGCCTGCTTGATTTGGAGCATGATGTTGCTCCTCTGAATTGGCCCCACCCCGGGGATTCAAAACGGTGAGATCAACACCCGCCTGGGGAGGTGGCACCAGTCGAACAGCCGCTCTGAAAGGCAGGCGCTCCTCGGCACGGTATCGCTGCCACCAATTCATGAATTTTGTGTGCAATGTTGCACGACGTCGAATTGGGCAAGTTGCGGGGCCATCAATCGGCTGTTCCGGGTTATCTTTGAGATTGGGATTCGCGTTAGTCGCGGTACCTGTTTCTCGAGAGCGGTTGATGAACGGCCTTTGGAATCCACCAGAGGTCAGTCCTATGCAAGCCCAGATGATGATGGGCATGCCCAGGCTCATCAGAGTGAGAGAAATCATAAAGTTTCCAGGTGTGCGACTGAATTTGATGATTTCGTCACAGCCAAAAATGGCGGCTATATTGACAAGCGGTTGAGAAATCTGGCAAAACGCGTCAGAAGATCGTCTCAAAACCATGTTTCGTTGAGGAAGGGTGGGATCGTGTGGTAAAACACATACAACTGTCATCCAAGCCGAGATACTAACCACCAAAGGCTGTTGGGGCACAACGACGGAAGCAGGAATCGGGACTGGATCTGGAGTGGGCTGAGCTTTCCGAAATTTGAAGCGAAGTAAGGCCTTTTCACATTGTCAGTGTTGACATAATTCAGCTGTCTGCCTGTACATCGGGGGTCGTTACCTTATCCCTTGCAGCTACTCCCTTCTGAATCATTTCCTCATATTGGATTTGTAGGTCCCTAAACCTTATGCGCAATTGCCGAAGGTCCGTAAATGCCCTTCGTATCTGCGATAGATAAGGATAACAGGCTGATATGTCGCCTGTTCGGCCTTCGGCATGGAGGAAGTAGTTCACATCCGTTGTCATGAACAGGTCACCGCTCGAAACGATCGCCTCCACTGTCTGCGAGAAGGATTTCACTATCTTTTCCGCTTCAAGGACGCCATCTTCGAAATTGTCCAATTCATCCAAGACATCCTTCACACTTATGGTAGTCTGGTCATCACCCGCAGCCTTATGCAGGCGTTGCAGGAGACGCTGATGCTCCACGCCCTGCAGCACATTGTAAGATCAGCCGTTTATCCCCATACTGAATCTCGGATCTGACTTACGGTGCCCGTTATCCACTTGTCAAAGTTGTAGAATATTCCTTGGAATTCTTTGTAGATCTGCCCCAAGCGAACCTCAAAGACACGAAGAAAATAGGGGCGAGGGAGCCACATTGTAGTTGATGAGTCGAGCATCATGCTTCTTCCACGGACTAGAGGATCCGAAAGCGGGGCCTTGTCAAGCGCATTTACCACATCAACCATGCCAAACGAGTCCACCACATCCTGCATCTCACCTTCATATCGTGCAATGCTATCGGGAGTTGGCAAGCCAATGACTTCGACTTCGAACCAGGCCTCGCATAGCAGTATACAGGTCCAGCGGAACTGATCGTACCCAGTCACAATGCAGCTTATGTGGCTCGAGTAGATGCCGTCGATGCCCTCGCCACCAGCTTGAGAGCCTGCAAGAGCGCGTAAGAAGGTGACATCTTGTGAAGATCTCAGGGAGCCTTCGTCTGAACTTTTGGCCCGGTCGTCTCGTATCAAGGTTTTCGACGTCCGCCATACCCAGTATGGGAACGAAAACTGCATGACAAAGGTTTCGGGACCATCGGTCTAGAAAATGAATTAGACCAGCTATTCGAATTGGTCAATGAGTTCAGACTTGCAATTACATACCGAAAAGTGCACGCCAAGAGAAGGTCTAGATAGGATATAATTAAGCAAGAAGTCGGCCAGTTGCCGATAGAGTGATTCTGGAGCAGATCCCACGAGCGCGAGGACGGCCCACCGACTGAGATTGACGATGTAACTAGACAGACAAATCAGCTTCCTCGCCTCTTTCATTTCTTCCCAATATTCTTCGGAGACCGTGAGAATACTTACATCAGGCGTCGTTCCGCGTCAGCTTCATGTCCACTTTCAGTGTCAATGGGGTCACCTCCCTTGTCGTCTTCATGGTAGCGCTACGAGTGGTTAATATTGATTGTGCAAGCCTAGAGGTAGCCGTACTGAAGAGACGTTGAAAACTCACATTTTTTTGCAATTCCTTCAGTAATCTCAGTGCCGACAAGGCGCCAAGGTACTGCCGTGGACGGACCTTGTTCTTCGTAATGTTCCCGTCAATGAGTATGGCAACATTATCAGTCGGAATGTGGTGGTGCCCTTGTTGGAGCTCCTCCAGCGTTGCACGCTGTAGGAATGCAACAAGAGGTGCTACACGAGATTTATCCGCTGCCCAATTGTGTTCCGTAATGAGGAAAAAGATAGGGTCTTCCTCCTCGGGTTCCCCCGGGGTTAGATACATAACCTCCCCAGGCTCTTCTGAAGGCTTGGTCTCTACATGGGCCGTAACCCAGGCCGTGTTCTCCCAGTTTTTCGAGATCGGCTCTCGCCTGAAGAACCTAGGCGGCCAGGAAAATGCCCCGGCTTGCCCATAACTTTGTCCATGCCCAGGCACACTCTCGTTCGTGACTCGACTGTCCCTTGGCTCTAGTAATGGAGAGAGATGCGGTGAGATCGAGGTTGAAATTACGGGTCCAGCGGTGGACACACCCATTGCTTTGTGTGATGGTGATGTTTGAGATGAGGGCCAGGAGATAAAAATAAAAAAATAAAAAGCTACAGTCTTCGAGACTGGCGGTAGTATTGTAAAGAGATTGTGCTCTCTTCCAATTGCGTGTGAGCAACCCTCGAACATCAAACAACAGTATTTCTTTTGTCTTTCCGGCTTGTTATAAACTTTTGAATTCCCGTTTTCCTTATACACGTCGACGTAGTGTTTGCAGCTTGTTGTACAGAAGTGCTTCGGCTCCGAAAGGATATCGCTTTTTGTATTCCGTTCCTAACAATCCCCAAATGTTGATACAAATTATGTGCTTCCAGCCGATGGTCTCTTTCTAGGTTGTATTACGATTCTGACAGTGGTCCGAAGGCTTGTGATCGTGGTGGCGGACGTGGACTCTAGTGACGGCACAACGAGAGCAGCGTGGATAGCGACAGTTGGGGCAAGGATCAATGACCACAGTCATGCCACCTTGTCCGCAACAACACTATGATCAGGAAACATTGTTAGTATTCTGTAATGAGTACCAAGGTGGGTTGCAAATTCAGTCATTCTAGGCTTTGGCTAAGCAGTGGGTGAGGAAGCAATACGTACGCAAGTCCAGACGAAGGCGTACTTTTTTCGGGGTGGCTTTCGGTGGAACGAATCGTCAGTGGCTGGGTGGGTATCATGCGAGTGGTTGTAAAGAGCTATATGGAGAGTCGGATGGGCATTGAAAGATGGCAAGTGGTAGTTACCATGGTCTCGGTTGATACTCGTGTGGGCTTTATGACTTGTCGGCTGCAGCTGCGTCGCTTTGCCTCTTTCTCTTCTCGGAGCCCCCCTGCCTGCTTCGAAGGCTTTCAAACGTCAGGCGCGCCCGCATGCAGGTTGGCAACCCTTGACCGAATTCGACCAAGTTCACAGCTGTCAGGTGGGATATATGTGAGGCGAACAACACGCGTTGGGATTCGACTGAAGATGCGAACTAAGGTGGAGGGTGGTGTGGAGGATGCGGTCGTGGAGAGTCGGGGATGATTGGGCCTGGCTGGGCGTGCCCGTTTTGTTGCAAACTTCGTCAGAGACACCAATTGAGTACGCCGCTCATCGGCAGGTGAATTGGCCTGAACCTGGTGCAGCGGAACGAAGGGCGTACAAAAAATGCTGGAATCCACGACGCGTCAAGACATCCGGTAGATCCCCAAGACATCCCGTCTGACTTTTGGAGGTCACATGACGTGGGCCGGTCAGTCAAGCCGGTCAATTGCGGTGGTAGATTGCTGTGGCTGCGAGCCAGCCAGCCTCCGCCTCATGCATATTTCGATAGGCATATCAAGCAGCAATCGAATCTACGCGATTAACACAGACTTCAGTGTTCTCAAAGCCGAGATGCAGGAGTCGTGCAGGGTAAGGTTTGCAGGGATCGGAAAATTCCAATCACCTGGAAACTTGACAGCGCGAAAGACGCCAGACCTGAGAGCTTCCTGGAGTGTGATCACCTGGGCCAAAGGGTCCGTCGCGGAGGTAACAGCAACGGTCGAGCGAATGGCTCACAGAAGATGGTCGGTGTGGCCACTATTGGCAAATGATTTCGGTTGAGAGGCCATGCCGGAAAGTTTTGTCGAAAAAGTACAATGCAGACGCAATCGGGTGTGTGCATAAAGGAGACGATGCAGATGGGAGGTTGAATTGACAAGCAGCTTAATCCGCAGCACCATGTCATCAGCTTGTCAGGAGTCAGGGCTGTCACTGGTGGCTTCCAACAACGAGGGAGGCACGTGATGGACCTCGCTAAGAAAGATCCACCTTCCGTCCCGGAGAATTGGTTCCAATTTCACACCTTGGCGGCCCGCCCATGCAAAAGTTGGCAGGGAGATCCATACATCTAATAACCGGTTTACCAACAACAAACATCTTTCTTTTTCAGTGTCGGAGAAGCCGATTCATCGGGGCATTGTTTGCCCTTGTCCTCGGTCACTTTTGCGAATGCTTCGCCAGCAGTTGTGCCCAATGCCGTATCGTGAAGCGTACGCCCGATAATATCGTGGATTCGTGGCTCCAATCGAGACGTTCCGCCGAAGTACTTTCCTCTTGCCGATGGCACTCACACACGATGTCCGAGAAAGACAAAGGCAGCATGTGACGCGAGCCCTTGGCTCAATCTCAAGCTGCGTCAGAAGCCTTTGGAGCCGCGGGAGCGCGGCCTGACTTTGCACTTTCAACCCCATTTCCGCGAATGATATTCTGGCTTGTATATCCTGGCCCGGACGCCTGCCGTCGCCTTACTACGTATATCCGTACAAAACAGACACACAGCCACAGTTCGAACCCGTACCCACCCGATGGGCCGACGTGAGCTTATCTTCATTCTCAGATATGACCCCTATCTCCTCAAATTGCGACTGGGCGATCCCATCTTGACCGTCCATCTTGACTGTCCTCCGTCAACATGCGTCAATCATTTCCCCAGTGCAGGAAAGCGTTCTCGGCGCGGGCACGTCACGTCTTGTGCAACACGACAATATTTTCGGTGTCTTACTGATTCAAATGAGACACAACACACTCCGACTTCGGCCCCTTGGGCCCTTACCAATGAGGCTGTGTACATGTCTCACCGCCATTGTTGGGCTGCATTTCTTGCGAAACCTAACGACCAAGTAAACAACATCGTGAGATGAGCTTCACCAACCGCTCACGAGGAAAATGACTGCCTAGATATTGCACTCGTCAATCCTCACCGAAAACACCTCTATTGACGTGTAGCGCCATCAACGTCTCAATCGGCTCATACCGTGATGCGCGAACGAGAAATCAGCACCCCATCCAGTGAAAAGAGCGCCATCATCTCATGTGACGTTTCCACTAGTAGTGGTGCCTGTTTTGGAAGGGTGTCTCCGTGGTAGGCGCATACAACGTGTGCCTACCACTCAAATCTACAGCCTCGATTGCTCAACGGGCCGTTTTGCCAGATGGGTGGCATCGTCAGATTTCAACTCGCCGATGGTATAAGCGGCGCACGAAACGCAGTCCGATGTACCCATCACGGGGCGCACAACGACGGCATCGATTTTACCCAATGAATCCTGCACGACGTACTGTGCCCAATGAAAGGAAATCACGACCACAGGGTCGGCTAATACTGCGGATGCCGCACCGAGCTCAAGCAACACCATTGCCAAAGTCTCATTCACCCCGGATTTTCATCGTCGTGGCACACCATCATCGTACTTTGACAGCGATTCCATTGGTTCTGTTGCACGCTACCTCGGCTACGAGCCGTTGGTGCCCAGAACTTCAGAGACCCCATTGGCAGCTGCTAAAGTTGGTACAGATAGGAATCCAGTTTGAACAGACCCCAACAATTTCACCGGAAAGCATCGATGTTCGACAGCCCGATGAACAGCTTCTTGCGCAGCCCAGCCTTTATCGATCAGATGACCTTCGAATCGAAGGTAGAATCGCCGTCTTTCTACCTTTTTTTCCTTGCCGAGCGAGACTCGATCGCAGTTTGCATGAGAGCAAGACTTTGCCAGTCAATCGGAGCTTTCAGCTCTACCCTGGGTAAGGTAACACGTGGGGACAAATGTAATGCCAACTAAACCAGTTGAACGTAACATCAATCGAGACCGTCTGTCTTTGGCAAAGCATACGTGCCCCACATATATAAATTCTGATTTCTGACTGAAACTACCTTAAGGTAGCTGGTCCAATGCAACAAATGCGATCAGTGTGTATGGAGTACCTTAAGTACCGAAGATACGGCCCGCGGGTAACTGGCAGTTGCGATAATTGTGGCGCAGGCGCTTAGAATTGTTGCAAAGCGCCACGTGGCTTGTCGGTAGGATGATGGGGTTGAATTTTAAGGTTCGAACGGCGTTCTTTGATTGGCTAAGTACATGCTTATGGGGGTACCATGTACCTCACCTTCGATGGAGAAGTCTAACCATGGACACCATAAGTAAGTTCTCTCAAAGAAGACTCCAAGTGAACACGTCAGTTTAACTAAGCAAGAGGTTCAGTATAGCCTTTATGGCTCGCCAAGACAGCGACGGGAGGCTTGGGAAGACTTGGCCCTCTTGTCGCCGGTTGACCCAGCACGCTCCGTCCCGGCAAATCAAGAAGGCCAATGTCGCCTGCGTGTCGTCTCTGGAAGTGCCCCATCCCACTTGTACACCATGTGGATCTGCGGGGTGGCGAGCGGCTGTTGGTGTCCACCGGGCCCGTCACGCAGCGTTTTCGGCTGGAATCTTCTGTGGAAGTCTCACCTCCAGCTTTTCTTTCAAACAGGCTGACGCCAGATTCCACCAACTGGAGTAAGAAGACTACGACGAACCCCATAGCAGCTACCATGATGAAGAGAGCGTAGAGGAAATTGTACCATGTCCGCGGAAAAGTGATGATACCATCACAGCTGAAGATTGCGGCTACATTAAGGAGTGGTTGAGACATCTGCCGTCCACATAATCACATTAGCCATTGAATCCGGGACTTTGAAGATTATCATTTCGACATACCATAGTTGTCCAAGACAACATTCTAATCTCCAGCGGGTTCGTCGCATTCATCTTCTTTTTCAAGATGAACTTATTCAGATATTAGCGTACACTACTTTGAGTAGTCATGAGGACTTCACGCGGACCTACCTTTTTTCTCCCAGTAATACCACTCTCGAGCATTGACTCGCATGTTTCTTGCAGCTCGCCGATATCTCGGTGGGTCCGGCCCATCTTATTCAATGTTTTGCGGATCTGTGACAAGGGCATCATGCAATCTATGGCATCTCCAGCTCGGCCATCTTGGTGTAGGAAGTAGTTCACGTCGGTTTCCGTGAAGACTGCGGCGCTACTTAGGGTCTCGCCAAGCGCCTTTTTCAGATCTCTCAGAACGTCTCCAGCTTGCTTGACCATCCTTTCACACTCGTCGAGTTTTCTCTCGGCTTCTTGTTGGGCATTGAAGCTGCGAGACACTAGTAAAAGGTCATCAAGAAGTTTCTTATGTTGTCTTAGCTGTGATTTAGGCAAGTTCGCCCCGTCAGTCGGGAAGCTCACGCGACATTCGAGAAATCCGGGACACAGACTTACCGCTGCTGCAATGGCATTATGGCAGTGAAAGGATAGGGATTCCCATTCGCCATTGATCTGATTGAGACGGATTTGAAGAATGCGAATGAAGTAGCTGCGAGGCTCCCACGAAGACCTCATCACATCGTTGCCTCGGCAAAGCGGATCGGAAATTAGTCCGTCGTCTTTGTCATTGTCATAGCGGGCTACCATGTCAGGATGTGGCTCAACGTCGAGAGCGTCTTCGTACCAGCTCTCAAGCAGGGCCACACCGGCCCAGCGATATTGATCAAACCCCGTGACGATTGCACTTGTGTGGCTTGAGTAGATCACGTCGAAGGAAGTGGCGTCGATAGGCATCTCGGTAAATCTTCTCATAAAAGTGATGTCCATCGATGATCTTAGAGGCTCCTCATTTGATCTTTTTTTTCGATCATCTGTCCTTGGTTCGGCTGTTGTACGCAAGGCTCTGACCGGAAAGGAAAGTTGGAGCAAAAACGTCTCTGGTCCTTCCGTCTATCCAAACGTAAATACGTTATCTTCATGAACCAACAACAGACATGAAGTTCCACGACTTACGGTGAAAGAAACCCCAATTTCACTCTTGGCTGAGAGGTGGTTGAGTATGCACTCCGTCACCTCCCTGTACAGAGACTCCGAAGATGATCCAAGAAGAGCCAGAATAGACCAAGAATCTAGGTCAACCACGTAGCTAGTAGCAAGAACGTAAGCATCTGAAGTTTCACAAACAGGTATATGTTTTCTGCCTGACTCACATCAACCTGCGTTCTGCCTCCACAAAGCCACTGTTCACAGAAGATTGTACATCATCGAGTTCATAGCGCTACGTTTGAAAGCGTCAGACTTGACTTCTCGACTGCTCTTCGGATTTCAAAAGGACATACCTCTTTGGTCGCCTCTCTCAAAAACTGCCTTGCTGATAAGCCTCCAAGAAAGGGTCGGAATACTGGTTCACTGCCGAGGTTGTTGCTCTCAATGAGGAGGGCAACTTTGGTTTCCGGCACCCCGTATGCACCCTCTTCCAACTGCTGAAGCGTTCTTCCACGGAGAATATCGAGGAAAATATCAAGCCGGAACTGGTCCGGGGCCCAGTTCTCTTCGGTTCGCAAGGAGCGCAATATGTCTTCTTCTTCAGGGCACTTCAGGTCTTGTTCCATACCTCGAAGGGTAGCGTATAGCAATGGGGTGTTCTCCCATTCCCTAGGAAGTTTCCTTCTTTTGAAGAATCGCTCAGGCCATGGAAATGCCCCCGCCTGCTCGACCCTGTTGGGTACCTGCACGTCGAGTGGCCTCGGTAGTTTAGTTGGCCCAACTGGTTCTGTTTTGGGATCCGCGGGCTGAGGTGAGAGAGAACAGCTTGAAGCTGTTTCCTCTTGGTGTAATGTCATATTCAGTGCACTCCCGTATTGACTCTGTTGTTGTTTCTATCAACTCGTATCACCTCGGCCTTGATGATGCGACTTTTGATAGCGTCTTGCTCCGCAACTCTCTCAATTAAAAATAGTAGAATGTTCAAACTCGGCCAATCTGCGATACTACAGTTGCTACTCTGAATCCTGTCTATCTGGATGTTTGTTTTGCGATTTTTTCCTGGTTGTCTTTGTTTTCGTAAAGCTGGGAGCCCGGTGGGTGGGATATTGCCGGAAACTCCAATGACGGTTGTATCATGAATTACCGAGTAAATATCTTGCGATAGAATGGAAGAGTCACCCGCGTTGCCCTCACTCTGCGACCTTTGAACGTCTTGACTGCGCTGACCGTGGGATGTATTGTGATGTAGGAGTTGCCGAACGTGGCTACGGACAACCGCCGTGACTGTGTTGACCGTGGGAAGTATCGTGGTGTAAGTGTTGCCGAACGTGCAATTTGTCGACACGACAACGCGAACACCTAGGGTATCCGCAATTGACACAGGGATCGGTGACCACGTTCATGCCTCCCTGACCACAATAACACTATTCCTATCGTCAGTATTTGACTAGAAATATGGGTTAGGCGCCCGTATTGAGAGGGAACCTGCAAGCAAAGAGCTAGAGATAGGAATGACGCACACAGGTCCAGCGGAAGGCATACTTTTTGCGAGGCGGCTGTTGGCGGGACGGCCCGTCAGTGGCTGAGAATTGATATATGAGGGAGTCTATGACAAAGGGAGTCGGAAACATAGACAGAAGGGCGTATTATGTACCATGTTTGGGAGGTAATGGATCTCTTTCCAAGTTTCCTCTTCAAAGACAACCAAGGATCTACCGTCGCCCACGTTCCAACCCCCCTAGAACACCTTTCTGCAGTCGCTATTGGGTTATCTTTGCATATGGTGTGTCTGGAGACCATGTAAATGATCACACGGACAATTCGGCCAGCAAGACAGGGCGGCCTGAAGATTTTAGGCGTCGAGGGCGGTGAACATCCAGGCTTGGAGGGTTGGGTGGTGTAGACGCTGTCGCGAAGATTGGCCAGGCGTCCCGGGTCGCCTACTCTCCAAAGGCGACCAATGGGATATTATACAATGTTGGGCCTCTGTGTCAGGAATCTGAATGTATTGAAGAGCGTGTCATGAGAATGCGATTGCCTATCACAACGCGCGGCAAAACATATGGCGTTTTTGTTTGTCGAAACATCTAAACGGACACTGCATCCGTACGATTCAGAAAAAGAACTTTTGATCACCTGACAATGACTCTGCATCACATATGGTAGGAGCCCGGTGTTCAGGTGGGGCAGCCGCGGAGCTCCCTGAGTTTATTTCATGTTCCCACGGAGTATGCTTCTGCAACGGCTACTGTGTCCCGAGCAATCGAAATAGCAAGGTGAAGGCAAGGGCAGTCGACCGCACCAGGAGCAGTGTTTGCACAGCTGTAACAGCTTACAAGACGAGATCTAAAGTGACCTGCTATCCTTTCCAATGCTAGATGGCGTCCGCACATACACTTCCCCCTTTTCTTCTTCCATTTTTCCCCCAGTCTCTCGGTTTCAGATTGCTTCCAACTGCAGATATCATAGCAGTCAACCCGCATCAATACACGATTTGTTCCACCTAATCCGTACATAACTTGAGTTTGCGCACAAACAAGCTAAACCTTCGGCCTCGTTGTCTCCTTACACGGGGAACGGATCCGGATATCCGTAACGTAAGATATCATCCTTCCGCGGGAACACGGGGAAAGCTTAGAGAAATTGATAATGACTGCGCCTCAATGCCTCGTAGGGATCAGGAAGAAATCCATGAAAGTACGTAGTACATATCAAACAATTGCATTATGGCAGCATTAATCAATCTAAGAGCAATCGGTGCCACGGTGGGAGTTGACTACCGATACTAATTTTGACGTCGGGCCTCGGTGAGGGATGCAGGGGGGTTCACCATTTCCTTTCCTGGCCTAATATCTGCATGGGTACCTCAGGTATAGATATATCCGTCAGGAATGTAATGCTAGTAATCTGCCCCTTTTCTTTTTGAGACCAGAGGCAGAATGTGGAGGTGGAAAAACTTTCTCATCACTCTTTGACAAGCCTGAAGCCACCACTTTTTTGACAGTCACTTTTTGACAGGCCATCATGTGAAATCAAGACAATCATCGCCGCCCTTGACACCGGCGGTTCACTCATGCGAAGCGACGTTGAGCTAGTTCGCCTCAGCTTCGCGCTTACCCGATCACGACCAATTGCCGCGGCTCTAATCATATCGCCCGACATCGTGGCTCCACTGATTATTCTTCATGAGAACGGAGGTTTCCCGCGAGATAGGATAGGTGTCCTAAGTAATTCGTACATATCGAATCACAGCTTGGGACTAAAGTACTTTGGTTCCAGCGACAAAGTGCTACCTGGCCACGTGTTGCAGGGAGTCCCGAGGCCTGATTGTGCATTTTGGTGATCAGCAAGGCTTCGGAGACGCATCCATACCTAGTCCTTTAGACTCTTGCCTGTTTGTGGCCTTTCCGCTGCAGGCCATCTCATGACCAAAGCTACCTTCCTCACAGGCTCACAGTACTTTCCAGCCCGATCGTACCAGATTCCTTACCAGAAGCCGTATAGCAGCGAAAGCTGAGAGGGCACTCTCCCAAGATTTGCATACCTGGAGTTGAGACTAGTTGCTGTCTCAATCCCCCACTCAGTAGCTGTAGCACCTCAAAATAAAATGGATTCAGACACTTGCATACCACAGTACCACTTCAGTCTCCGGTGTCTCAAGCACATTCAAGAGGATCCTACGGCAGACCTGCCCAACACCAGCAACGCCCAACGCCATGTAAATACCACAGGGGGCTACAACACTACAAACAAACCACCACGATCGTGGGATGGTACCATAGACAATAGCTCTTTCTAAATGGCGATCACATATGTCTAGACAGATCGATCGCGCCCCTTTCACCGGGTCCTCTGCCTTTCATAGTTGCGCATCATACCCGTACACAGAGCCTGCAGCTGCAGGAAGAGCTTCGCCCTGGAAGAATGACGCGCGTAGCAGTCTGAATCCATATGATCATGCCCTGCCCGTCATTGGGCTTGATGATTATTTGGATGCCAGTAGTCCGGTCGCAACCTTGACCGCCTCGATGTGTTCCTCTCACCCGGACCAATTACCCCCCAACAGTTTGGTCAAAGGGCGAGAACGTCGTCGCTCCAGTAAGAATAACTCGCATCGACCTTCCACATCGGACCATGCACCCGCAGCCAAGCACCGCCTGCCTGTAAACCGCCTCGCTTCACGGTCAATGCTAGTCGGTTTCCCTTCTCACCGGTCTCAGCTGTAAACAGTGCGATTCACGGATCAGGTAGAATAAGCAACAGCAGTCTTCTAGGATCTTTGGCAATACGCCCGTCATCTTACTTATTGATGGTCCTATGATTGGCTCTGCTGCACGTTGTTGCGGCTGCTTGCTTATGTCGGTGAAGAAGAAACCTGGCAACGGGTAGAAAGCTCAAACACGTCATCTGCTCGTAGCCATCCTACATCACCGAAACCACAAACATAGCAGATATCAAATTCACTGACTTTTGATCATGGCCCAAAGGAGATCTTCTCGGTCGACCCATGGCGGGGTCGCAAGTGCCATGATGCAATGTGCCATCTGTGAGACAAATCGACAATTGAGCTCTAAGTTTTACCGGTCAGCTGAGTTGGGAATCCAGTATAGCTTGTATGAGAAGCAAGGCCAATGAAATTAGTTGAGGGATGCCAATGTCACTGCACTTGCATCTTGTTCTTCTATGAGGTAGTATGCAGTATAGTGGATTTGGATTTGTTACAAGTCAGTTTCTTGTCTTGATGGGCTAAATGTAGGCCGATAAGAGCTGCAGCATTGAATCCTTTCGAGAGAGACCGTCCTCAGATTACCATATGATGTGGCGATGTACGCCAGTCCATCTTTAACAACCTTACCATCACTTACTAAATCAAAAATCAAGTTCATACAACTCAGTTATTTATCATAATCAATCAGAGGGTGCCAAAAAACTTCGCGGTTCGCATTGAGTGCATGCAACAGTCATAGCCCATGGGAGGTACCTTAGCTTGGAATTCCTTCGGCCGACGGCCAGCAAGTTAGAATTCTGGAACTTTCAGAAAGAACTCAGGGCATAGTACTTCATTATTGATAAGATAGTGAATGAGTGAATCAAGTAGGAAGGTGTAATCCTGCGACGATCGCATTGGCGTGCGGTCTCCCTGTCAATGAGAGTATACCAGGCGCCGATTTCATTCTTACCCCTACATGTAGACTCTCGCAGCTAAAGTAGGCATGTACACAATGAAGGTCGTGAGACCACGGGGACCGAGATTCTCAAGGAAACTAAAGTCATCACAGGAATAGACTTGTTTAAGGCCTACGAGCTCGACCTCAAAACTATTTTTCTCAAAATTGCGACCTTATTGAATCAACGCACTAAGACCAAAAGTACAAGGGGTTTTATCCTACATCCAGTAATAACTACCTTATATCATTAAGCGAGTTATCGCAATGCCTCGATTCTTTGGTCCTATTTAGACTGGAACTCAACTCCTACTATTTAGGCATGGGAATTAGATCCGCCTCAGAGTCATAGGGTGTTCCGGTTGGCCGGAGAGAGAGTATCGTAGAGTGCTGGTTGAGACCTAAAGCCGTCTCGTGGCAGATCAAGAGATCTGCAGAATAGAGAGATGATAGCTCTTCTATCTCGTGCGGCTTTCCTTGATCCAAGCGGAGCCCGAGTTTCTTGGTCACACCTAGCCCATGAGCAGTGTTTGCTTGTTTGTTTGATTGTTCAACGCCGGTGGTTCAGCCCGTCAGGGCGAAGGGCGCCTACATGGGCTTTCAAAAACTACCCTTTTCCACATAGAGTGCGAATTCAGGAGAAAGCAAAGCGCAAACCAATGGTTAAGCTCTCAAAAGAATCGATTTTGGTGAAAATACCTACAGAGAGGAAGTGATATTTACTGGGGTAGGAGCTGCCCCCTGCTGTTGAGACACAGGAGACGCTCATTCAGGCAGTAAATATGTAGGCATTTCAATGAACCGTTTAATCAGAGCAATCTTTGCATTGCAGCGTGAAGTCTCTTCTATCTCCATGGAATTTGATAGCCGGCTATGATTACCTCTAGCAACCGCCAGGTATAACACTCCCAGTCGCGTTGTCATGGACCACGGTTGGGCACCAATCACCGAGAACTTATGCTGCAGCACACCATTCTCGAAATAGTTTACGCCAGAGAAAGACTGTACGAGGTATCACTGTCCGCAAACTCATCACAAATGGTTCAATGCAAGTCTCTGGTACCCTGATCCACCCATGCTCAACGACTTCCCCATACCGGACTTCGGAACGAGCAGTCTCATGATACCAAGCGCATGAAGTGGGGTAAACACATCCCCAATACCTCAACGGGACATGATCCGACGCCGAGAGGAAGCTAGACAGGCTATGGGGATCATCAAATGCAGGTTGAGACATGCGACATAGCGGAGTTTCTGCAGAGGGGTCCTGGATGGATGACGTGCGTCTGTTGGAAAAGACCCGGGGTTAAGGGGTTCCAAGAAGTAGTTTACATTGGTGACAAGTCTCGCAGCCATTACCTTTATGATCATCGTAGGAGACGGCCTGAAGTTTATGGCTGGCGGATTTCTTGTGTTCGAGCTGTCTATTACATTCTTGTAGGCTACGATCAAGCAAAGAAATGCTC